AATAACAAGTGTAATATCCACTAAAGCAAAGCTTAAGTATATAACACCAACACATTTCAGTTTTAGTATTTGCGAGGACGGAAATATTTTAAGGAGGGTGGGTTGTTATACCCGAGTTTTATTAATAAAGGAAAATACTAGCTTTTAATTTTAAAGCTAGCCTTTGTTAATAAATATTCATGTTCATGTTCAAGTTTAAGTTAATCAGTTAGTTAAACTCCAAGTCCGACTATTAGTCGATGTGTTATTCGATTTGATAATCGAATAAGTTTTCAGATTTAATTCGGATTCATTTAATTAGTTAATGAGTTCGGAATTAAAAAGTCAAGTTGACGAACTATTCGAAATATTAATGTTCGGATTAATCGTTTAAGTCAAGAATATTCGAATTAAGTTCCAAGGTCAAATTATAACCGAAAATGAGTGCGTTCGGTTAAGGTTACCATATATGAACGTCGTCATTCCTATACAGCGACGCGTTCACATTTGGTACACCGTCCATCATTAGTTTATTCTTAAGCAATCGTCATTAAACCTTGCTTAATTAACTTAATCAATGTTTAGCTAATTAATCACGATTAGCTTAAAGATAATCATGATTAGCTTAATGTTAATGATGATTAATTAACATTAATAAGGATTAGTTAAGGATAATCATGTTTAAGGTAATCATGTTTAGCTTAGCATCAAGTAAGCTTTCTCACGACATGAGCAAGTCGTTAGTAAGGTAATAGCACAAGGGTGCTTAGCGCACGCCGATCACGTTTAGCACGCCCTTAGCACGCACTTAGCGCGCCTAAGCCGAGTCTAAGGGCCGTAAGTTAAAATCTTCCAACCTTTCACAAGCATAGTCATCCATTGGTGAGCAAGTCGTTAGTAAGGTAATAGCACAAGGGTGCTTAGCGCACGCCGATCACGTTTAGCACGCCCTTAGCACGCACTTAGCGCGCCTAAGCCGAGTCTAAGGGCCGTAAGTTAAAATCTTCCAACCTTTCACAAGCATAGTCATCCATTGGTGACACATGGAAGCTCATGGTGCCTTAGGGCCGTGACTAAGCAAAAGTGAGGGTGAGTAAGCACACCAATGCCACCCTCGAGCTCTAACCGTACGGCAAGTGGCGCACGGCCATTGGCCATGAGTTTCTCCCCAATCCTCACCAACGTTTTCCCATTATAAAATCTGATATTTGGGGAGGGAATGTTCAGTTACTACACCAGCTTTCACTAAGAAAATACTAAGTGAGATTATGATCATTTTATGCACGCACGCACGGTAGTGAGGATTCATAGCCATTCTTGTGATTTCAACCAAGCACTTGAAGAGGTAATCTCATTCTGAGCCTCTTTTCATGTTAATAAGGTCATATTAAGTTCAGTTTATTCAGCTCATGTCAAGAAATTCATGGAGAGGTCATGATTGGTTCGGTTTTGGCCATGTTAGGCCATGTCCGAGTGATGTTTAATTTTAACCAACAACTCTCGTGCAATTCATGTTCATTTGATCATGTTATGACCTTATAAGTTCAGTCTAGAAAGATAGGTCGAGACAAGTTGTGGTTATGCCCATGTTTTGGCCTAAGCAAGTCGGCAACGCACGTAGCGCACGCCTACAGGCCATTTTATGCCCTATCATGTTATATTTCAGTATGATCATAATTGTCCGTGAAATTCATGTTTAGTTGGTCATGTTAGGTC